CTACGCGGCCTTGCAAGCGGACTTGCACACAGGGGCGCCGCCAATGCTGGCTCTCTTCGCCGCCAGAACCGCTGGGGAATGCGGCGTCGCCTTTGGAAACGACGCCGCGTCGCCCACCCTGGCCCTCTTGGCGGCCCCGGGCCCAGCCCGGGCGCACCCTTTCTGGTCAGTGCCGCCGGCGGCGCTCCCAGGCGCGCTGTCTGCTGCACCGCTGGCGCCCTCCGCCTCGCCCTCCCCGTTCACTGCGCGGCCGGCGAGGATCGCCTTCCCCGCGTTCAGAAGGATCTCGGGGATCAGGCGGCCCTCGAGCGCGGGGAACTCCTCCTTCATCTTGTCAGGCTCCACTGCGACCCTGATGAGGTTCTTCATGGCATCGCGGACCTTCTGCTTCTGCTGGGTCAGAATCCTCGACTGCCCTTTCGCCTCCCAAATCGACGACGTGACGTTCGCGCACCAGGCGACCAGGAAGAGCCGCTGTCGCAACTGTGACGTCATGGAGTCCACCTGCGACTCCAGCTGGGGGTCGCGGTACACCTCCTTTATGAGAGAGAAGCCACCGATCACCTGGAGCGAACGCGGGGTGGCGAGGAGGAGCCGCGGCGGAATCTACTGGGAACGATGGGGGGCTTCGTGGGATGAGACAGCGGGGGACTGGCGAAGGAACACGAGGAGCTGGGGAAGACGGCGAACAAGGATCAGTGCACCTTGTTGACAGCATCAACCATCTTCCCACCCTTGCCGCCGAAGGTCTCCGGCATGTCCACGGTGCCACCGACAACCTTTAAGAACTCGGCCGCTTCCTCCAGCGTCTCGGGGATGGGGCTCCTCTCCAGAAGCTCCTTCGCGGCGCGCACGGCTGGCTCGGCGTCGAACCGCTTGACGGAGCGTTCAGCCCGCTCCTGCGCGACTTTCTCCAGCCATGGCACGGCCTGCGCGTGCAGCTCCTTGCTGGCCCCCACTGCGGCCTCCACATCTTCCGGAGAGGCGTCGAAAGTCTTCGCGATGACCGTCTGGAAGGCGCGCTCCCGCTGCGCCATGTCCCGAGCTGGCGCACGGCGTCGCTCGCGTTCTCCCACAGCTCCAGGTTCAGCTCGCCCCCGGCCTGCTCGGCAAGCTCCTTGGCGTCGGCGACGGCCGCGACGCTGCGCAGCCCCATGCCGGCTTCCTTCCAGGTGTCCTCGGGCGGCTCCGCGCTAAGCAGCTTGGAGATATTCAAGAAGACCTGCAATCCCTTCCGTTGCCACGCCGCCGAGTCCACGCGCTTCAGAGACTGTTCTGCTGCACCCTTGGCTCTGGCCAGAACGCTGTGGCCCAAGGCCCTGCGCGCGCGCGCCGCCGTGCCCAGCGCGAGGGAGAACAGCGACTGCAGCCCCTCTACGTTGTCTTCCGCAGACACTGTCACGCCAGAGACCTTCAACAACGCCTCGGGGCTCTCCTTCAAGAGGTCGCACAACCGATTGGCTGTCTTCACTGGCTGCTTCATCCCAGGTACGTCGAGACGGCTGTACGCGGCGATGTCGGCGATCTTCTTCAATGCCCCGAAGGCGGTCTCGTGGGGGCCCTTGATGCCATCAGGCGCCCACTCCTCGACGGTCGACCAGCCGTGCTCCAACTCCAGCCGCTCGACGCACGCGGCAGTCAGGAGCTCCTCTGGAGAACGCGTTTCGGTGCCCAAACTAAATTGAGAAGGCGCGCTGCTGCAGCACCTCTTGCACAAGGTGTTCTCCTCATCATCCTCCTCCCTCCTCCGCCCCCTCTTCCTCCTGATCGTTCTGGCGGTCCGGGGCCCGGGGGCGGTTCATCTGTCTGTGTCCTGTTTCTCGCTCTCCCCCGAGGATTTGCCCCTCAGGCCTGCTGCGGCTCGCCCCGCCTCCTCGCGGGGCGAGCGCAAGAGCAGCCCGAGGACCGCGCCCTCGAACGCAGTGCCTCTACCGGAGGCAAACAAAGGCAACGGCGAGTTCAAACATCCCATGCCCAAATAGGAAAAACAAAAAAAAAAAAAAAAAAAAAAAAGCGCGCCGCAGCAGCGCCGGCCATACTAGAACCAATGGCGGATCGGAAACCCTCGAACCCCATCGAACGGACTCGCGATCTTGCGGAGGCCCGCCCGCGGCCTTCCCTGGCGAGTTGCTGCCGGTCGGCCTCCTGCAGCGCGCCCGCCTTGGACAAGGCCTCCTTCTGCTTCTTGCAGGCACGCGACACCTCCTCGGTCCAATTCTGCCACTGTTCCCCGGCGGCGTGGCCCGTCACCTGCGCGAAGAGCTCCCGGGCAGCCTGGGCGCACTGGAGAGCGGCCTCCACGTGGGGCCGCTTCTTCATGGCCGACTCCGCCCAACCAACGAGGACTTTGCCGCCCGGGCTCGCGTTCGAAGCGACGCCCAAGGCCCCCTCCAGCTGCGGGGGCGCCTCCAGCGCGTCCCCCACCTCAGTCAGCGGGGCAGCGCTCGCGCGCGACACTGCCCGGAGAACTTGGATTTGACCCTTCGGCTCCGCCTCCCACACGGGCCGCGCAGGGTCGGCGGGGGCCCGCTGGAGAGCATGCCGCGCGGCGCCAGCGAAGGCAACCACGGCAGCAAACGATCCGCCTCCCTTCTTGGCGTCCGACTTCGCGACGGTCGAAATCAGGCCCGTGCCGACTCGCTCGAGGGTCGTCGTCGCGAGATCTGCCGAGGGCGCGCCATCTGCAGCGCCGCTTTCCAACAGGGACATCAGCTGTAGCCAATCGCAGCGCTTGATAGCCTCGTCTGCCTTCCAGCTCCTGAACTGCATATGGTACGGCACGCCGAACGCGATGTCCTCCGCCGCGGCGATCTCGGTGTCTTTCAGGAGAGTCTCGGTGTTCCCTGGCTTCTCGCTCACAGCAGCCTGCGGACCCCCCCGCCTCCTCCCGCCTCCTCGCTCCGTCTTCTTCCTCCTCCGCTCCCGCCGCCTCCTTTGAACTGGGGCCTCCAAGCCCCCGTTCACAAAGAGGAATGAACAACTTAATGCGTACTCTAGCCTTCGCCTCTTTCCCCCCTTCCTCCTCCCTACCTCCTCTCTTCCTCTTCCGACCTCCTCCCGTCCTCCTCCCCGCCCTCCCCCCTTCCTCCTCCCTTCCTCCTCCCTTCCTCCTCCCTTCCTCCCCCCTTCCGCGTCCCTTCCTCCTCCCTTTCTCCTGCCTTCCGCCTTCCTTCCTCCTACCCCCCCTCCTCCCTTCCCCCTCCCTTCCTCCCTCTCCCCCTATCGGTCCTTTCCTCCTCCCTTCCTCCATCGACGACGACGACGACGACCGCGAACGCGACCACGACCGCGACCACTCCGCCTTGACGACCCGCGCTGACGCGGCCAGCGCCTCCTCTGAGCGCGCCAGCCATGCCATGTTGATCTGCAGCGCCTGCGCGCCGTCATCCGGGATCTCCCCCGCGTGGATGGCGCTCTCTGCGGCTGCCGCCTGCTCAAAAGCCGCGGCCTTGAAGTCGGCTCTCCCCTCCTTCGTGGACAGGTCCACATCTCCGCTGAAGTCGAGCAATTTGTAACACTCCCGGAACGTGTTGAAGAGCGTGTCGGCCTCGCCCTTGAGTTTCCTGCCGGCCGCTGTGAGGCTGAATTCGAGGGGCTTCCGCCTGCTCTTCTTCGCCGCGGAGCCGTCCTCGAGAGGTGCTGGCTCGTCCGGCTGCTCGCCGCCCTCGTCGGAGTCGTCGGGCGGCTGGGCGCGCAGGGGCGCGGCCCACGAACCGCCGCTGCCACGCTTCTTCCCTGGCTGGCTCCGGCCCGAGCGCTGCGGGGTCGCCAAGGGCGAACTGGCGCCGCTGCCGTCGGCTGGCTGCGCCGAGGGCGCGGCCGGCTGAGCAGGGGCGCGGGCGGCTGACCTCTGCGGCGGCGCCTGCGCCGAGGGCGCGGCGCAGTTCGAAGGGGCAACGGCTGCGGGCGTGGCAACCCCTTCGGCGGCAGGCCTCTCGGCTGTCTGGGCAGCGCGCCCGGACGTGGCCCCCCCGGTCGTCAGGGCTGGTGGTCTGGCCTGCGGCTTGGTCGCAGCCTTGGGCGCGGGCTTGGCGGCGCGGGCCGTGCCCCGCAGGCCCGACAGCGCCGCGGCCACGAGATCCGTCTCTTCGGCGTCCTCGTCGCTCGCGGGAGAGTCGGACTGGCGCCCCTCCGACGGCGCGCTCTCTGCTGCGCCGATCTCCGCGCGCTGCGTGGCGCGCCGCAGGGCTGCAATTGGGGCGACGGCGGCCTCGGCAGCAGCCGAAACCTCAGCCGCGTTCGCGTCGTCGTCTGACTCACTCGGCCACAGTCGCCAGCGCCGTCCTGTCCTCCACCTTGCGATCGTCGTAGTCCGCGATGTCGTACAAGAACTTCTGCGCGCCGTCCTGCATGACATATACAACCTGCCAGTAGGAGAGCAGAAAGGGAAGGCATTTCAACGATGAAGGAAGCGAGTGGGAAGACGACTCGGCGGCAACGGCGCCTCCTGCCAGGCGCCGTCGATGAGTTCCTCGCCGCGACAATTCGGGTCCGTGGGCAGCGGCGTCTCAGGGGAAGCCTCGCGCCACTTGCTCACGGGGCAGGCTTGATGCCAGTTCGCAGACAGGCGACGCCCGGACGACTTGACGGAAGATACCTGGCGAGCCTGCTGGATGTCTCCCGCGGCCTGCCTGGACATGCGGCGGCGCTTCTCTGGGTCCTTCCCCGCCTGGCTCTGGACGTGCGCATCCATCTTGAGCCGCGCGGTCTGCGCCCGGCCCGCATCCTGGCGCGCCCACTTGATGTACTCCTTCAGCGGCTTCTTCTCGCCGCCAGGCAAGTGGGGGTCCAAGAGCACCGCCTGCGAGAGAGAGAGAGAGAGAGAGAGAGAGAGAGAGAGAGAGAGAGAGAAAGAAGGGGGGGGCTGGACCAAGTCGGAATCGCGTCGGACATGGGCCGGGGGCGCGCGGGACTCGAGTCGCGTCGGGCCCCGTGCAGGATAGGCCGGGCGGGGCGCCCCTGCGAATCGAGCGGAGGTGGAATCTCAAACGGCAATGCTCGACCTCGCCTCGCCGCGACCAGAAAAAAATGCATACCTCTGCCGGCTCCCCTTTTTCTCTTGCGCGGAATTGTAATGCGCTGAATTTAAAATTGCATGTTTGGTAAATTTATTGAGAAAAACTCATTTTCCCAGAAAACCAATTTTATGTTCACCGGGCAGGGTTTTATGTTCACCAAGGCGGTTTTATGTTCACCAGGGCGATTTTATGTTCACGGAGGGGAAATTACTATGTTCACCAGGGCCACTTTTATGTTCACCAGGGCGATTTTATGTTCACCAGGGCGTTTTTTGTTCACCGGCCGGAAATTCAAAAAAACACTTAGAAATGGGAAAAACATCAGAAATGGAAAATTGCAGCCCGCGCGGGCAGAGAAAAATTTAAAGCGGCGGGCTCGATTTCAATGAAATGCCCCTTGCCCGCCTGCCTTCTTGCGCTACAGGGCCTTGCAAACCAGGCACAAATAGCCCGTGGCCTGGCGGATCATGCTGGCATGGTCGGCGCGGTACTTCCGCGGCCAGTATCCGCCGAACTCGTCCTCGTTACTCGCCTGGGGGCACGGGCTCGGGTCCGTGCTCTCGTGGGCGCAGAGACCGCACTTGAAGCTGGAACCATCCTTCTTGTTGAGAGGTTTCACCAGGTAGCCAGCCCACTGGCCAACCACCACGAGGGCGACCTGAGAGGAAACGGGAGCCGAGAGGGAGGAAAGGAGGCGAGGCGAAAGAAAGGAAGGACATAAGGAAGTGCACAATGATGGGGGTCCCTCGACCTCGAGGCCGTGCAGCATGCGGCCCCGCCGCAACCCCGAGGCCGCGGGCGGCGCCTTCTCCGTCTCCCCGTCGGTGTCGGAAGGCGAGGCCTTCACCGTCTCCGTGCGGGCCATCGCGGGGGGCGAGGGGGCGGGCGCGGCGGCGGGCAGCGAGGCGCTGCCGCGGACGGCAGCTTAGCCGCAGCTCGGGAGTGGTGCCGCGCCGAGAGACGCGGCGAAACAGCGATTGGAGCAACGCTCAGGCGACAGCTGCGCGATGGCAACGGGCGGCCGCGGCGGCGACAACGACTCTGAGAAATACACTTTTACACGCCTACGCTTCGTATCTGTCCTGGCGGGAAGATCACCCGCCACTGGCCCGCCTCTCCTCCGAGCCCCTCCAAGGCTGGCTCTCGGGCATGCCCTCCAGGGCCGCGCGAGCAGCGGCGATCTGCGCTGGCGCGGGCACCTTTTGTTTATGGTCTGCCTTGCTCCCGCATCCAGGGGCCTCCCCCAACCACCACCACAAAGCGGCCAATGGTCGAACTCTCGATTGCTGGTTCCATGAACAGCCTGGATGGCGGCCACAGACGGCGCGCACGTCGTAGACGTCGAGGGCCTCGTTCTCGACAAGGCGAATGTAGCGAGGACGGCAAGCCCCAGCGGGATGTGGGAGCTGCGGGCATCGGGCGACGCGCGGGCGCCTCGGCGCGCCCGCGGGGGCCGGCGGCGGCGCCGCCGCCGCAGCGTGGCCGCCCAGCGGCCCGTGCGCCAGAGCGGCGCCCGGCGCTGCTGCGGGAGGCGCCTCCGCTGGCGCGCCTTTTGCTGCACCCTGCGCCCCGCGACCTCTCTGCCGCCGGGCGGCGGCGGCCTCCCAAGCGGCCTTCCAATCCTTCGCGTAGCCGGGCTCCTCATCCCCGCCACGCGCGCCGCTGCCCCCCCCGTCGGCGGAAGCCCCGCCAGGGCGGGAGTCGGCGAACGCCTGGAACCAGCCCGTCGCCAGGTCGACGTCCTTCTCGCGGAGGCGTGCCTCGTCTAAGTTCCGCTCCTCCGCCCAATCGACCGAGTGCTGCAGCTCTGCGCAACCCATGCGCGGGCGCGCAAGAAGTTCGACCCAGCGCAGCTCAGCCCGGTCGCGCCCGCACACGCCTAAGATGCGGAGGGCGACGTCGATCTCAGTCATCATCTTCAACACTCTGCGGCCCTTCCTCTCCACCCAACACCAGCGCAGAGAGAATGGCACCTCGGGGGGCGCCGCGCCGAGACCGCACGGCTGCCCCGCCACGTCGGACTCGCAGAACTCCCCCGTGAAGATAGGACTTTCCAAGTGCGAGAAGTTGCGAATCATCACATGGCCTCCAGGCCCTGAAACCTGGAGGGCCATCATCTTCCCGACAGTCTTGCACCTCGCAGGGGCCACCAACAACCGCAAATCTTCCACTGCGCCATGATGCCCCCCCCGCAAGTCGGCGACGCCGCCAAGGCACCCTGCCGCGCGCGCGCAGCAAGGCCGCTGGGAGGCCGCAGCGAATGAGTCCTGGAGGCGCCACGGCAGCATTGTACATTTCGTCAAACGACACGGCCGTGGCTTCCACGCAGGATCCCAACTTCAGCTTCGCATCGACATGTGCTTGCACGGCTGCGGAGACAAGGTCCTCGGACAAGGGGAACTCGTCGGAGCCGAGACCCCAAGGCCAAGCAGCTTCGCCCGACTGGTCAACGTGGTCGCGACAGATGCGCACGTACTCGTGCAGCGGGTCTGGCTTCATCCTCGCAGCCTTGTTCGGGCGCCGAGCCGCCTCTCTCCAGCTTCGCCCCTCGGCCTCGGATGCAGCCCGCCAGTCCGCGGCCGCCTGCAGATACAGACGCCGCTCGTACTCTCTCGGGTCTGCCCATGGCGCCCGCGGCTGCGAATCTCGCAGATCAGCCACGCGACGGTGGTAAATCATATAATGGCCCGACCTCTTGCGCCGCTGGTTGCCTCCTTCGCCTTGGGCCCAGATCGGTTTCGAGTGGCCGCTCTTCTGCGGGAGTCGGCCCCGCTCGGTGCGCAAGTCGCGCCCGCGGCGCCTTCTCCGCCCCTCTTCGTGACAGCGAACAACCTCGGAGATCGCGTGCTTGGCGGAGAGCGTCGCGGCGTTCGGAGGTCTGTTGTCCATCGTCTGGAGGTGGGCTCTCATCCGCGCAAAAGCCAATCCCACGCGCCCTTCAGGGCGCAAGTGGTCTAGGGAGATTCCTCTTCCAACCCCCATTCTTTCCCGTTTGCGGAAAGGTTTACCCCTCTCCCGCGCCCCCCCCCCAGGACCTGGGCGCGGGGGCCCGCAATGGGTTAGAGCGTCAAGAATGGCCCAAGACGGCCCCTAGGGTCGCAGACCGCAGCCGTGAAAAAGCCAACTCGCCTGGGCGACGTTTCTGGATGGGCTGGCGGGGATACGCGGAACGCCAAGAATTCGGAACGCACCGTCGAGGCCATCGCGCACCTAAAGCATGCGGAGAGAAAGCGCTGCACCTCTGGCAGGAAAAGGTCGCCAACGCCCGCGGTGCACATCTTCCTCAGCCTCAAGGAGAACCCCGAGTCCAGGCAACACTCGTTTGCCCGAAAGAGTTCTTCGCCTTCTTCGCGGCGGGCCCCCATGTCCAGGGAGGCGCCCGCGAGCCGCATGAGCCCCCATGGGTAGCCGCTCAAACGAATGTCGAAGCGACGATAAAAGGACCCAGTGAACACGTGCACGACGGCGTCTGCTTCGCGGAGGACCTCGCCGGGCCAGGGCGCGAGGGGGCCTTGCAGGGCAAGTGGCAATCTCCACAAGTCGCAATGTCCAGCTGCAGCGGGGTCAAAGGCTGAGCTCAGCTGAGCGAGCGCGTCAAAGACGACGCTCTTGCAGAATGACGACAGCGCAGACCCCTTGGGGTCGAGCCAGCCATGCAAAGACCCGCGCCTGAAACATGCGCAATGGAATCGCATCCCCACGGCGGCCACGGCCACCCACAAGACCAGCCGTTGCCGCGAAAGTAGATCGGAGAGAAACCTCATCATCTTGACGGTGCGAACATGCTGCTCACGCCTGAAATCCCCCAGGCCCGTTTCGCCGTTGCCGCTCTCGAGGCCGGCATCTTCCCGCCGCATGGCGCGCGCAGCAGCGCAGCGCGTCTTCTCGAGCGCGCGCGGCAGCAATCCATGCCAGGAGATCAACAGCAGCAAGACGCACGCGGTGGGGTGCGCAGTGTTCCAGCGGTTCAACGCGGGCACTGCAAAACGCCTGCGCAAAGGAACCATCACCGCCGCCACCGCTCTGTCGACAGACTCCTGCCTGTTGGCGCAGCAGTCGCGGCTCCTGCAATGGTGCACAGGCCTCTCTTGAGACACGTCGCCGGTGAACATCTCCTTGATCAAGTCGACCTTTGGCTTGGTGAGGCCCCTACGTTGGCCGCGCGCCGATGTCACCTCCTCTTCCTCAACGTCCTCATCCATTTGGCGGTCGCAATGCCCGAGCAGCACGTCGAGCTTCCCCCTGTCCGCTGGATTCGGCGCGCCCGGCCGCGCCTCCAGACCAGCCTTCTCGTCCGACAGGATTTGCCGCAGAGCTGTCTCGAGGGCCCGCAAGTTGGCCCCTGTTTGCAAGTGTCTGACAATGGACAACATGCCGCCGACAACCCCCGTCATGTCCCCGACCGACTGCAAACATATTGCGGTTTGATGCTGCAAACAAAAAGAAGGCAACAGGAGGACCCACCAGGGTAACGTCTGCAGCAAATATTTGCACACCAGCCCGTTTGCGGCCGCAGAATCGACGCTCGCGGACAAGCACGCCAACAGCGCCGACGGCCAGAGCTCATCCATATCCACGCGCAACGCCCGCGCGAGGCCTCCGAGCATGCAGTCGGCGGTTGCAGATGGTGGGAAGATAAGCTCTTGGCTGTGGACGCGGAGGCCCTCGTCTTCCCAATGCAACACGCCGTGCTGCGTCACCACTTGCTGCCCACAAGGGGGCTTGACGTCGTTCAGCTGTACAGTGAACTTGGTTTCGTCCCACTGCAGATGCATGACCAACCAATTGTGTTCTGTCCCAGGCGCTCTGAGCACTTGGCGCTCTATTTGAACCCGTTGGTTGTCGCAGCGAAGCTCCGCCAAAGCCGATCTCAATTGGCGAACGAAAAGATGGCTGCCTTTGATTCCGGTGCCTTTGAAAACCTTGGCGACGCTGGTAGCAGCCATCCGCAGATACTCTTTGCTGAACACTGCGCGGAGCATTGTCCGAGGAAGCCGCTGATCCCACCGAAATCTCGGCGACTTCTTGCGCGGGCCTTCCTGCCCCTCCCCCATCGCGTCCACCTGTCGCTTGGCATTGTCCAAATTGTGAGTGGCCATCTGCGCCTGCAGCTCCATGTCCAACTGGGGCCGCGCATCGCCCCTAGCCCGACGAGCTGCAGCGGCAGCCGCGCCCAGGGGCGCCAGGCCGCGCCTGCCTGGGCGGGGCCCGGGGCGGCGCGCTTCTGCTGCACCTCGAGCCCCGAGCCCATCGCCGCCCACGAGGCGACCCAACGCGTCCCGAGCAGCTGCGAACATATCCATTCGGGCATATGACCACCGGCGCGCTGGAGCCACAAGGACTACAGATGCACGGCTCACACGATAGGGGCCCCCAGCCTCCTGCTAGGTTTCTCCTCTTCCTTTTCCTCCTCCTCCTCCTCCTCCTCCGGTTTGCTCGACGCGGGCCCGCGGGTCAGTTCTCGAGCGGTCACGGGCGCCACCGATGACGCTTGCCACCATGCGGAAGGCAGCGTCGGGTAATGAGCAGGGGTGCTCCCTGGCTTGTCACTCACAGCAGTCTGCTTTCTGCTGCGCCTCCTCCTCCCCCTCCTCCTCCTCCTCCTCTCCTCCGCGTTCGTTACTTATTCCTCCTCCCGCGCCCCCCCCTCATCCTCGACGCGGCCTGGCGCCACAACGTCTTGCAACGACCACCTTTGAAGTGGGGGTGCCCCCAGCTTCCGTTCACTGCACGGAGTGACCACATAGTGAATACCTTAGCCTTCGCCTTTCTCTCCCCTTCCTCCTCCCGTCCTGGTCTCTTCCTCCTCCCTTCCACCTCGCTTCCTCCTCCCTTGCTCCTCCCTTTCTCCCCCCGTCCTCCCCC